CTGCCGTGTCAACCCTGTCAGGCAGTCTGAGACGCGCGTCACAGTGACAGGGAACGGGCTGGCTGTGCGCGAGAGAGCTCCCAGGTGTGCGGGAAGGGAGCGTGCGGGGGCACCTCAGCCTCCACGCCGTGTGCTTGGGGAGCATCAGGGAAGCCTTTCGGTGGAATCACTTCAGTCAGAAGAATCCACTTACAGTGCGCACCTTCTAACGTCTTCCAGACGGCGCGCTGTATTAAAGAGGCATTTTTTGATTAATGTTTTATAAACATCTTTCAGCACAACACTTAAAGGCCCTGTGAAAGTGTAAGTGCCTGCCTGGCGTGCACTCCCACAAAGTCAGGTGCCATCTCGTACAGTCTGGTTGGGCCGTCAGCCACAGTGAGACAGAACCGGTGCCCGAGAGCATTAAAACGCATCCCCTGCGTTGGTATTACCGCAGGGAGAGCGAGATGAAAAGAGTCCTATGTTTAAATTTCACTTCTAAAAAAACTCGTCCTGGTAAGTCCGCTTGGTTTTTTAAATCATTGCACTGTTTTTTCTAGTTAATGGATATAATAAAAATGGAGTCATAGTCAGCACAGTAACTTCTGATGGGATCTGGAAAGATACAAACGCATTCATTCCACACGCTCCTTCTGAGCACGAATGAATGCTCAGAGCTGAGAAGAAACATCTCCGACCCTAAGGAGCTTAACAGCAGGTGAGGAAGACACAAGGGCAGGGACCCCGGGCTGAACGTGCCCCCCTGAGGAGAGCGCAGCGTAGAAGGACCTAGCGGCCAGCCGTGGCACTTAAGGCTGACTTCCTGGAGGAGGCCACTTAAGAACTAAAAGCTGAAAGATCGAGCTGGTCAAGAAGAGGGTGATGGGCATTTCGGGCAAAAGGAGCTCGAGTGCCAAGCCCACCGGCAGGACCGGCGAGGGTGTGGCGCATGGGCTGGGCTGGGTGAGGACAGAGCCCTGCTCCTCATGGCTGGGCACAGAGCTGGGAGAGGGGAGGGGTGATGAGACCTAGAGGGCCACGTCAGGAAGGTCCTTGTCCCACATGGGAGGCCTGCATGATCTGACTTAATCCGATCTGTACTCAGTCCAGGCTGTGGTCGCGGAGGGGAAGCCTTCTTGGACAGGACAGGCCTGTTCGAGGGCGTTGGGAAGTGCCAGTGAGAGCTGACTGTGCCCTGAAGGAAGGTGATGGGAGGGAGGAGAGCGGTCGCAGTGGTGCCCAGAGTTAGTTAACGCAGGGTTATGTCGCGTCCTGCCTCCGGCATGCCTGTCCGTCACCGAGCAGTTCTGAACGCGTGAGCAGGGAAGGGGGTGGGCAGGTGGGCTACATAGGTTTCCGGAATGAGAGCCGCACCCAATTTTCTCCAATTTGACCTGAAGGTTACATTTTGCCAAATTCGTGAGCAGGTTTCAGAAGTCACAGTGTGGTGAGTGCAGGGCTCTTGCAGGTCCCCAGCCTCCGACCGTGGTCCTGACAGTGCCGCCGCGTGGCAGCGATGCCCCAGAGCCGGCAGTGGAACTCCTGGTCCAGAGGGGGGGCCTGGCACGGGCAGGAGGGGAAGTCGGGGAGAAGCTGAAGGAAAGCAAAGGTTGACATAAAAAGGAGATTGAGAAGAAACTAACATTTGAAGAGTAACTGAGTGAGCGACTGAAAAGTAAGGTAGATTTTAAGACTGAGGGAAAATAAAGGTTCCCCAAAAAACAACATACGACTTGAATGGCTGGAGTCCCCCCGCCCCAGCCAGGTGATAGCGACCAGCAAGGACACACCCAAGGGAAGTGGGTCCCAGTCTCTGGAAAGCCAAAGCGTGCTCTCTGATTATTTACCAGCTAACGAGGAGCACGTGAAGTGATGAGGCGCAACCTCTGTTTAATTCCGCGGTGTCTGCAGCAGCCGTGGGGCGGGGTGTCCCGCTGTTTCCCAGCATGGCCGGGACACAGGACCCAGAGGAAAGGGCGTGTGGCCAGGGCCAGTCGGGGAAACAGGAGCCCCTCTTCAGTGGGGAAGATCAGAGTGTTGGGACACTGGAAGGGGACCCGGGACGGAAGGAAATGAAGGAGTAATCACTGGGCAGTAGTGGGGGTGAGACAGAAGGAAGAAGTTGGGGTTCTCGGAACCTAGGAGCTTGGAGGAAGAGATGGACCTCCGACCTCTGACCTCTGACCTCCGACCAGGCACAATGAGCTCTCGCTGGAGCCGCTGGCTGCCCCCCCTCAGAGGGCTGTTGCTGGCAGGACTCAGGCCCTGGACAGAGCCATCTGGAGGAGGATGGTGGCCGTCCCGCCCGTCCTGGGGTAGTGGCAGAGGGTGTGACTGAGGAGGAGATACCAGAGCTGGAGGACCAGCCTGAGATCTTCCTGCCGATGTACCAGTTAGTGCCAGGGTCCACCGAAGGCAGAGGTCACCCTGGAAGCTTCTCGAGGGTGGGGGCTTGGCTGTCTCTCAGCCTCTCTCCCAGCCAGTTGCTGAGCTCCTCACCCGTATGCAGGGGCAGGAACACCCTCCGAGAAGAATGTGTTCCACAGGACTTCTGGCCTGGAGAGCTTTGTGCATCCCTGGCCCTCTTCTGCCTCACGGAGCTGCCGCCCCATGGCACCTGGCCCTGGAGACCTCGGCATTTAACCTGACGCAGGGAACAGGACATCCGAGGGGCCTGGGAAGGTTCCCCTTCCTCCCAGTAAAATGGTGCACACGGTAGTTCTCACCAACCTGGGGTTATTGTCAGGCTTAGTTCAGTTGACAACACGGGACAGCGCGTGGTGGGTAGCAAGAGACAGCATGGCATCTGGTGGGCACCCAGTGCCCACAAAGCAGTCTGACCATGGGGATGCGCCTCTGTCTAACCCTTCACAGCAGGGGGTTCTGATGCCCGTGCAGTCGGAGGCCTTGTGTTGTCTGCGTTGGTTCTCTCCCTGACCTACGGTAGCAGCAGCCCTGAGACTCCCCCTGGCTTCCCTGCTGTGCCCACTGCAGCTGAGAGGCATGGAGCCCGAGTCTTCGCCGAGAACGGACACCTCAGGTGTTCCAGCCCAGCAGCCATGGCCCTCGATTTGGGGTCAGAAGCCCCTGCTCTGATCATTGTTAGGGACAAATACCCCCATATTTCTGTCACTTGCTCCCTGAGCCCCACTTTTCCTTCACCCCATCCCCAGCTCCTCAGCATCATCCCGTTGGACCAGTCGTCCTGCCTGGAAACAGGAGAAGTGTGTTCACGTCGTCTTCTCTCGTCGGAACAACCTTCCGGGACTGGCATGTCAGATGCTGCTTCTCAACTGTACATGGATTAAACATATTATTTTTTAAAAGGAAGCTTCCTTGTTTTTTTTTGTTTTGTTTCGTTGTTTTTGTTTTCATTAATCCTCACCGGAGGACTTTTTCCATTGATTTTTAAATAGAGTGGAAGTGAGGGAGGGAGAGAGAGAGAAACATTGATGTGAGAGAGACACATTTCTTGACTGCCTCCCGCATGACCCCAAGAGAGGCTGGGGGTTGAACCTGTAACCCAGGTGAGTCCCTTTGACCGGGCATCGAACCCGAGACCCTTCCGTTTTGGGGCCAGGCGCTCCTCTGTGTTATCTCGGTGAGAAGACGGGAACTATGAAAATCTCAACATGTCCTTTGAAGCTCTAAGCGATGTTGTTGGGAAGGGTGGAGTGTTTTGGATTCTAGCAATGCTGTGTGAGGCCCTGAAAACGAAAGCAGCCATGAAAACACGTTTTTGCATAAAGGGGTGAAGTGTGTTAGCAGCTACACACAGAGCTTTCCCCGCCTGGGTCACTCTGGAAGTTACCCATGCGCTGTCGCCGGCGTGTTCAGGTGCGGGCCCTTCTCCGAGGCTGCTCTCAAAGCGGTGGAGGGGAAGCTGAGCTGCTAAAGCCGTGCAGCTGCCCGCACCGCGCACCCGGTTCTGACAGCGCGACCGTGTTAAACGGCGGCGGTAACAGCTGAACTGCCAGTGTCTGGTTGTGTTGTGGAAACTTAATAGATACGCGCTATCGCCAGCTGCTCACAAAACGTGCACACCTGCCCTTGGGCAGGAGAGTGGTAGACCCAGGACGTACAGTCGTCCCTCGCCACTTCGAGCTTCGACTTTCGCAGCTTCACTCTATTGCGGGTTTTTTCCAAATATATTCATTAAAAAGTTGATCGAGACAGTGAAAATGATACAGCGTGCGCTCGGTTGTCTGAGTCCATTATACACCCCTGTATTACAATTAAAATTACCATACGTGTGGACTGTAGGCCTATGTATTCGAGCACCCAGGAATCTTCAGCGCCAGGTGCAACCACTAGAGTCTGGAATGGATTAACCGCGATAAACGAGGGATGACTATATTCATTTTCCTGAGTTCCACTGAAATTTTAATATGGGTTTAAACTAAACTCAGCTCTGATCTTAGAGTTCACCTGCCACATACAACATTGCATAAAGCACTGTGAGACCCTCAGCCAAATGAGAACATGCAAAACCTTTATTAATGTTCATTTGGCTAAAGTACCCTCCTACATAGAGCAGTATGTACCATACATTATCTGACCATATCCTTCTGGCTCTCAAAAGTGAACTCTGGGGCTTTGAACTGGTGCCAAGCAGGCCTCCTAAAGACCAACAGACTGTTTCATGACTAAGCAAGACAAGATCCATTTTGAACTTTGGCCTCTCTAGTATTTATCAGCCTTCCTGAGTCCACTCTATTCCACGCTGTCCTCTCTCCTCTCCTTGTTAGCTGGGTCGCTAATGTGCAGTGAGAGTTATTGGTGCCTTCAAACACTGCGCACCTTTCAGCTTCCGCTGGCTCTAGGTAGAGCTCAGAGCTTTGTGTGGTGAAGAGAAGGCGAAGCGGTCTGGTGATCATTCGAGGCCTTCCCTTTTCATTCTGTGCGTACACCGGGGAGAACCGCCATGACCCGTTCCAAGGCCCAGATTGAACGGGCAGTGTCTTTAATTTTGATGACAGGCTACACTTGCCTCTAGATTTCCTGTCTTTGTTCTTCAGGAATTCCGATGCTGAAGATCGTGTTTGCAGGCCACGAGCACCTCTCTCTGATATCCGTGCCTCTGCTCATCTACCACCCGGTTCAGATCCTCCTGGGGAGTGTGCTGGTGCCAACAATCAAGTCCTGGATGGTGTCAAGGCAGAAGGTGAGTCTCGAGAGACATCGGATTGGGTCCAAGTCAGATTGCAGTGCTGTTTCTGAGTCTCAGCTGTCCATACACTGACTGTTCTCATCTCAAAGTACATATTTTCCTAACTAAATCCGACAATAACGATGCACTGATCCATTTCGATTCAAACAGGAGGGTTGAGGGTTAAACCTTTGGATTATAAAAATGCAATTATACTTAAAATGCAGCTTATAAAGCTCATTTTCATTTGCTCATATTGAAGGGCATATTGCAGTGGGGTGAAGAGATTCCGTGAATATACTCAAAGCATATGCCCCCACCCCACCCCCTGCTTCATGCACACTGTCGTTGACCCACCTGACCTCAGATGTGTCCTGACTCCACCTGGCTTTCATTGGGATACCTACTTTAGTTTTAATTCTCTAGATACATAATAATGTCTTTGCACAGCAAAACTGTGTTTGGGCATTAAAAAAATAAAATTTCAGTAGCAGAGAAGTCCACACAATATCAATTTCACCACACTTAGCTCAGAGTCCTGTTACTTATTTGATATTTGTGGACTTGATTTTCTAAATTATCATCCAAAATGAAATAAGCTGGTTGAGTCACAAGAAGTTTCGGTGCTGCAAATACATGGACGCGCCGAAGGCCGGGCTCCTGCCCGGGGCTCAGGCTCCGCAGGACCTCGTTCCTCGGACGGACGTTGTTGCGAGTGTTATCAGGAGAGGGGTAGGCAGAAGAGACAGCCAGTGGCGGAATGCCCGGCGCCACATCCCAATTGCCACATGGCCACCTACTGAGCTCAGTGTGCGAAGCACGCCCAGCCCCGCCCCACCCCGCCCCGCGTATGGACCCTGGAACCAGCCCCGCCCCCCGCCCCCCCCCCCCCCGCCGCCCCGCCCAGCGTATGGACCCTGGAACCAGCCCCGCCCCACCCCATCCCTCGTGAGGACCCTGGAGCCAGCCCAGTCTCGCCACCCCCCCCCCAGCATGTGGACCCTGGAGCCAGCCCAGCCTCGCCCCCCGCCCCAGCATGTGGACCCTGGAGCCAGCCTAGGCTCTGCCCCCCCCCTCACTGGTGACCTCAGGCAAAGCACTCCTCTGCCCCTCAGTCTCTGCCACTCTGAGACGATGACCACGTCTCTTCGGAGTCGTGGGAGAGTGCGGCAGGTGTTTGACAAAAGTGAGCTGATGCGGCTGTCCTTGTCGCCGCTGTTGTCTTAGTGTCCCGACACTGTCTGCATCGCTCTGCTGCCCTGTCTGTCCCCGTGGGAAGTGAGCTCCGAGGGAGCTGGCCCCAGGCCGTGTGGGTGCCTCAGTCAGTGCTGGAGTTAGGGCTCAATCCCTGGCCTCCCAAAGCCTTTCCCCTCCACCATGAGGACACGCCACACACAAATACAGCCTTGCTTTTCGAAGCCCCCCCACAGGTCCCCAGGAGCCAACCTGGAAAGGCTAACTCATCCCACGCCATCACTATTTAGTTCCTTAACAAAACATCAGTGACCCCACCCCTGACGGGTGGGCTCCAGCTCTGGTCCTCCACTCCGAGTGCATAGAGGAGCCATTTAGTGTCTTTCTCTTCACTATTTATTCATTTTGAAAACTTTCATGTATATTTATGCTTGTATTTTTCAACGTACATGTTCATTATAGACCAGAATTTCTACATATAAATGTTGACAAAGTATGAAGAAAATTATTGGAAAAATCTTGATACCCTATCAATAAAATGCAGTCGTAGTGAACAGCAAAGAAATCAGAGTGAAACTGTCTCCTACATGTTTACAAGCTGGGGAGTGTGTTCTGCAGAGTAACAGAAGCACTTCCCACGGGCGACCACACTGGACAGCGCTGTCATCTTCCCTCTTCCCAGATACTGCTCCACGCCAGGGGCCCCTGTCACTCAGAGTAATCCAGAGGCTTAGCAGGTTATCCGTCCCATCTGAGCACAACAATAAACACAAAGTAGCCATCAGAGGGCCATCCGCGATCGCTCTGCAAACAATGCCAGTGGAGACCCTCGGTCACATTCCGTGCACAGCGGGACTGTGTACGCAGCCAGGCCAGGCTCGGGGGACAGTCTGCTGGCCAGTGGGGTGGGCGGGGGATCTGTGCATCACCAGAGGTTTGGGTCAGCGGTCATCTAATGCTAGCCGGGTGGGCCTCTCCCTCCTTCTCGGAGCACACGTGACGGAGGTCACTGCACTTCTCGGCTCATGGTGTTCTCCTTTCTTGCAGGGGGTGAAGCTGACGAGGCCGACAGTATAGCGAAGGAAGCTCTGCCACGGCGTGTACATATGTACAGGATTGTCCACACTTCTGACGACTTGTACTTGTGAATGTTGCTCCAATGCATATTTTATTTTTTTACACACACACACAAAATGATATAACTGTTGAAGTGCCTTAAAAATGTATTTGAAAAGAGCGGAATTTCCCAAACCCACGTTGTTGGTTACTGCCAGGGGTGGTCCACTATTTTGGAGTTGTTTAACATTTTTTTCCTGACGCAGGGAACAGTCGTCGTAGGTGACAAAAGCCCCACCTTTGTGCAATACTGTATATCTGCAGTGGCCACTGAACTGTTAGCAGTGAGTCAGCCACTAGAGAACGTCCTTCTGATGACCGTGAGAACTTCCAAAGTCTCATTCACAAATGCTTTGATTGACTGTGCGACTTTTTTCTACAACTGTGACATGCCTCTTATCAGCTCAGCAGGGGTCAGAGACCTAACAGAAGCTGAAAAGCACGGTTATCTGCATTTCTTGACATCATTTTTCTAGACATTCCTTCAAATAGTTTCCACCCGAAATTCCTCTGTCCCGTGATAAGAGATTGTGATATTATATATCTTAAATTTATTATAAACTGCTTCAAAGAAAAAGCCTGACGTTTGCATTATGAGTAGATTAAGTGAAGTTTTGAGGTAAACTACAGGATTTGGTTTTCAGGATTTTTCCTCTTCCTTCCATAATTTCATTCCTGTCTTCCAGTGTACTTGCAACCTCGCGACAGCCAAATGTGAGACCAAAACGTTATAATCGGTTTGAGAACAGCAACGATTAATGATGGACTCACATCCCATGACTGAGAAAAAAATTGCTTCCTGTTACACAGATGTGCTGAGCACAGATCGCCCCCTTTGGCCAGAAGCAGCCTGTTACACCCTTGAATTAAGCACACTTAAGGCATTTGAGACACGTTATTAATGAGAATTTCCGTGGCAGATTTGACAAATGATTGCAACTTTTTTTTTAATGAAATCATATTGCTCTTATGAATAAGTGGAAATACAATGGTCATGGATGCAAACATTTGTTACAGACTCTCATTCTCTCTAGCCAAATGGAAAGAAAAATGGGCACAGAAAATGCAAAACCATTCACTGACCAAAATGTCAAGTAAAATGAGTTCCCCATTGGGCTTCAACTTTCCAAAGAGCTTGGAACATTTGCCTCTGCTATGGCTGGACGGGCTTTCACTGGGCCCAGACAGAGAACAAGGCACTCTGGAATCAGGGAGGACGTGTTCTCTGTTTTCTGCACACCATTCTGTCACATCCTCTCTGCATGGCCTCTCTTGATTTGACAGACGAGATTGGCATCCCGGGTCACACTGAGGCCACACTCGGTCCTCGGCAGCTGTTTTGTCAACAAAAGAAAAATCATTCCTTAGAAACCTCCCAAGTTTATCAAGAGTGTACATTTACATTCTTCTTACTACCAGCTCTCATCTTGTCATTTTTCTGACTCATTTCAACATCACTGAATTTCATAAATTTCAGAAGAGTTATCCTCGGTGTCCATCTTACGGCTAGTGCCAGACCCCACACAAAGCTGCCTGAACAGGCTGTTTGTCAAGAATTTCTGTTGTCGAGACTTTCACTTGTGTCTGAAACTACATAATTCTGCTTGATACTTTGGATGCTTATATATGGAGCTCAGAAAGGTTTTCATGTTTTGTTCCTATACACTTCTTTGAATTTCAGAGTAAATGAAATTGTCTGTCTGTCTGAGTTATAAAAACTAGCATTAGAATACTGATTTTCCCTCCAACTTATCTACCTCTCTTGTCAAACACCTATTGTAGGTGTATGATTATGGGATAAAATTCAACTGAAAATACTATACTTTTGCTTTAAAAAAAAATGTCTTTTCTTTTCAAATAATCTTTATGTGGTGAATTTTGGTGGCTTTAGTGATATGTTTATGCCTGTCTTTTTTTTTTTTTTTTTTTTTACACAAATGCTATGGCATATTTTTCCATAAAGAGCAGAAAACAAAATCAAAATTTATTTTTAATTCATCTTTATTGGGATTTAATTATTCATGTCTTAAAATATTTTCTTATGTTTATGTATTGTCAGGCTATCTGTTTTATGCATTTGTTTTGTCTAAATGTATTTATGAAAGAAATACATTCGATTATATTTATGTTTACCCATTTTTCCACCTGGATTTTTCTTTAATGGCTGTTATGAAATTTGATTCATTTTTAGTAGGTGATGATGTTAATCTATTCATGTGTTCTAAGTTTTAAGATTTTGTGGATTTTTAAAAATTCTTTCCTATTCTGTTTAAAACTAACACACCTCTGGCTAATGTTCAGTGTTTGTTTATGCTAAATACCAAATTTTTCAAAAGGATTGGTATGTAACGAAGTGGATTATTTATGATGAATGGGAGATGAAAAGGATTCTCTGTTTAAACAAAAAGATGTTTCAGAAATCACAAGAGAACACGTGTCTTATTTTTAACCTGATTTCAGATGCACTCACAATGCCTTCCAAGTATCTACAGGTTTTTCTCGATTCACCCAAATACTACTGTATCATTTGTGGTTAAAGATACAGTCTTCCCCGGTCTCCACCTCAGCGCCTTCACCTCACCATAATTTAAAATCCAGAAACAGCCCTGGCTTTTTTGTCAGAAATATGTGTTCCCTGCATCAGAGTTGAGGACCAAAAGAGACACATACCAGCGGCAGTAACAGATTTTAGGCAACCTGAATGGTCGTCACCCTTGTCATTCTTGTGAGGATAGAAAAGATGAAACCTTAGAATGCCTTTGCAAAGCCAGTGTTTCTTTCTTTTTTTTTTTTATCCTCACGGGAGGATATTTTTTCACTTTTTATTCAGATAGAGCAGGAGGGAGAAAGAGGAAGAGAGAGAGAAAAACATTGACGTGAAAGGGACACATCGAGTGGCTGCCACCCACACGACCCAACCAGGGCCAGGGACAAACTGCAACCGAGGTACATGCCCTTAGCGGGAACCGAACCTGGGTCTCTCTGGACCGCAGGCCGACGCTCCAACCGCTGAGCCAAACCGGCCAGGGCAGCCAGTGTTTCTTTATGAGCAGGTTCCTTTGACTTCCATGCCTTCGAGGCCTTGCTTCCCTGTCTCAGCTTAGAGTCCCCTTCTCCCTGCAGGGCTGGCAGGAGTGTCACCTGCCCACCAGGCCTTCCTGCCTCCAGCGGAGCCTGTGCAAGGCTGTCTCCCTGTGGTGCCCTCAGAAGGTGTCTCTCCAGGCTTCTGAAACCTCTGCATTGTCTGATTGCTACTTTCTGTGTCTGTCTCCTCCAATGGGGTCCTCATCTCCGTTTTTCTACTGTGCCTAACACAGTGCCTGGCTCAGAATAGTAGCAAAAAAAAAAAAAAAACTATATTGATTTTTCTAAATTGTGATCTTCACAGCTAGGGCATGAACCTTTCTCAGCGCCCTTACAGGCATCCCTTCGAGTTAGCGGTGTGTTTACTTTGGTACATACCAAAAGTGAGCTTTCTGCATTCTATGGGCTTCCACTTTTAATGTCACGAGGAACCACCATGGAGTTTTCCATAGTGGCTTCCTGCGGTTCTCACCCCTCTCCAAAAAACAAACAAAAAACCACCTTTAGTAAAAATCTGCTTTACACCAGAGCTTTCTGTTTATTTGGGGGGACATGAAATAAAAGGTTCAGTCAGCTTCCACTAAAATGTACTACAGGGGAGAGAAAATAAAGCATTCCAGTCATAAAATCCAAAGCGGGAATTTTGTGCAGGAGACGGTCAGCAGGATAGAAGGCCCTGGAAATCTTGGCAGGAGGACACTTGCCACAGAACGTGGGCGCATTCTTCAGCCGCTCCATCCCAGGGTGAGTCCGCCTGCACCGGACAGGACTGCAGCCCTGGCGGCCGGCTTTCCCGGCTGCGGTGTGAGCTCGCCCACCCGGCCAGCAAGCTTCAGACCTGCTGTTCCCCACGGTGCTCAGTGCGGCCTCTGGCTCTCGCGAGGTAGACCAGCCAGCCCGGCAGGCCGCCGACTGCCGGTCACACCGGGTCCTTCACCCGGACTTTACATGGGATTCTTTCCACGACCCCAGGAGGCGCGGCGCCGATATTATCCCCATTGTGCAGCTAAGGAAACTGAGGCCGGGGAGGTAAACTGAGCACGAGCCTCCCGACCCCTAAGTGGTGGAGATGAGATTTGAACTCGGATTTGCCCGACTCCGCTAAGTAGACTCCTCCACGACCGAGAGCCACGTGCCCCTCACGAGATCTCAGGTCCGCACAGTCGAAAAGGCCGGGAATGAGCAACGGTTCCAAACCCAGTTCTGCAGCCGAGGTTTCGATCACGGGTGTTGCTCTCCGGTCCCAGAAACGCCAGGCGATCGGAAGGAAGGAGCCCAGGGCTCCCGTCACAGGCCAGGCCGCAGAGCCCCTGGGGGCCCGCTGAGGACATGGCCCTGGCCTCCGCCGAGGACGCGATCGCTCCTGTGCCGGCCTCTTCCAGACTCAGGTCCTTGCAGCCCTGCCCACGGTGCTCCCGCTGCAGTTCCGGACCTGGCTCTGCGGCCTGGAGCCCGCACTGGCTTTGCAGCGTGGCTAGAACTCAGCCTGTTTGCCACACTAACCGGTTACCGTGACGTCCTCCGCCGCACCGGCCTGGCGGTGGGGGCAGCCTGGCCGTGCCCCCCCCCCCCCGCAGCCCTCCAGCCCCAGGCCCGAGGCCGCCTGTCTGCGGAAGACGCAGCCACCGCCCTGTGCGCGGCGCGCGGCTCTGCCCGCCGGGCCAACGTGGGAACTGATGGCGGTGAGGGTGTGCGGTGAGGTCGACCGAGAGGGGCCCTGCGAGCCGCTGGTCTGGTGCCTGGCACTGGGTGATAACCCAGGAGGCGGCGGCGGCTGTCTCCGTGCAGCACGGCTGGGACCGGGCGAACCGTCCGATGGGCGGTGTCGGGCACGTGGAGTCAGGCGCCGGCCCCAGCTGCCGCCTTCTCATCTGTGCAAAAGGTCGATCACCGCGTTCGTGAAATGTCACTGATCAAGTCAGGAGGTGACCAGGGCACCAGTCTCGACGGCAGCAGTTAATGAAGACACCTGGTTCTGAATTTTAAGATGGTCGCGGCCCTCGCGGCCGCCGGCACCGAGGGAGAGGCCCTCCCAACCCGCCGCTGCCGCCCGCCCCCGCACGCGCCAACATCTCGCCCAGCTCCCTCGAAGCCCGAGTGTGGCTGAGAAGGTGACAGGGCAGCTGACTGACGTGACAGTGTGGATCCTGAGCACCGACGCCTGCCTGCGATGAGTTCCCACTGCGCAGCTCCCAGACCAGACAGACCGGACAGGTGTGGTCCTGGCCTCTCTGAGGGCGCCCCCTGGACTCGGACGGTGTCCAGGATGAAATGTCCCCTTGCCGCCGTGGCCCTGGTGTGGCCGGCTGTCCCCTTTACAGGCCCCGCTTTGCAGTCCTCTCTTTAGTGTTAACATTCCCAGGAATTCCGGTGACAGTCTTTCCTCCCAGCAGTGGTGGGGACTTCTGAGCCACACCCACAGCATCAGTTACCTGTACACCAGCGAGGACTCCCAGATCTGGGGCCCTGAGCCCACATTTCCAACGGTATTTGGACATTCCCAGCCGTGTATCCTCGAGGCCCCTCTAACCCCACATACCCTAGAGGAAAAGTCAATAACCTCTTTCTTTCCCTACACTCAGCCCTCCCCAAACTGGCTTCCTCAGTTGGCATAGCAACCTCCCCAAACCTGCTTCCTAGGTTGGCATAGCAACCAGGCCTCGTGTCCTCTCCCCTCAGCCATCACAGTTCACTTTTGATGTTCAATTAAATTCTCTTCATTCTCTCTGCAAAACCTCTCCTTAATTTCTACCTTCTTCTTCATCCCAGCCACTGTCTTAAAATATGCCTCTTGTAGTGTTCTTTTTCCCTCCAGAAATGCCTTTCTTCAATGCAGCAAAGTATCTTTGCTGATACTTATCAATCGCCTGCCATGTGCTGGCAGCTCTGAAGCTTTACAAGATTATGCCATTCAATCCTTATGACAATTCTGGACATCGGTGTAATTATTCCCATTTTACAGAAGAGAAAATGGAGGCTCCAAGAGACCACGTTCCAGGTGCCAGAGCTGATAAGCGACAAAGTCTGGATTTCCCCTGGATGGCTGACTGGGCCCGCACCTCGGCCTCCCTCCCGCTCTGCATCACTGACTCTCGATTCTCAGGCTCCTACAACCCACCCCAACTTGTCCTTAGTTTTCAGTTGTACAATGAATGTCTTCACTTGCTAATTTATCACTTATCAGATCGTACCAAATTATCATTATCCACACCTTCCCCCCACCACCCCAAATGGTCAATTTCTTCAGTGAGGACCTGTTTTGCGTACCTCTGGAACCCTGATAACTGGCAGAATGCGTACTGATAGTAGGAACCTCAGTGCACTTTTATGGAACAATGGGTTAACCCTTAAGGCCCTCCAGGTTGCTTTTCTGATTTGGGGGACAAATGTCTTCAGATTATGAAATGCTATTTTTAGAAAGTGGCCTGTGACTCTTAATGATCATTCAGTGAATGAGAATTATCATATTACTCTACGGATGCTTCTGATAGGACTTTTTTTTTTTTTTTTTTAAATGAAAATGATCAGTAAAGGGTTCCACAATCCTGGCTTCCAAAACTGATGGCAATTTGACCCCAGAGTAATGAGACCCACAGCCTCGGTCCCCCTCCAGACGCACATCCCTGTTTTGCCTTCGCTTTGGGAGCCATCTCTTTGGCCTAAATTCCTGTGCCAAGGTCCTGAGCTCAGGGCCACGCACCCAGCCTGGGAGGAGCACGTGCGTTTTGGACCCAGGCTGGTCAAACAGGCCTCTCTGCC